GGGGTCTCTCCTTTGAAACTGCTCGGAGGGAAGTGGGTCAGAAGCACAGTGCTTTGCAAACACACCAAGGGCTGTTGATGTGAGCAGGTCACTGATTCAAGGAGGGGCTTTACTGCTCCCCTGAAGCCGGAAGCCTTAGCAAGCTGAGGTCTGGGGGACGCTACGTCCTTCCTTCCCTCCCTATTTTTCTGAAAGAAAACCCCGCACTACACGTAAGTGTTTTCGACATTTAGTTCATCTTTTGGGCAGAGCTGATGGGCCCTGGGATTTTCAGTTAGAAGGGAGCTTGGAGGTTGTCCCGGCCAACTCCTCCATCGACCGGAAGGGTAGGTGAGGTCATTGCTCCAGGTCCAGAAAAGCCAGAGAGGAAGACAAGCCAGTGAGACATTTGTTCACAAACAAATCCTGTTGCCCGAACAAGCACGTCAGGTCTGTCCTGGACGAAAGGGACAATGGCCCCTGCTCCTGAATAAGGCAACAGAATTTCTAAGGAAAAGAACCACTTCAAATGACATGGCCTGGAATGTGACCACCAAGGAACAACAAACATGGACCCCTCTAGACCCAGGCGTCTAAAAGCCAAATGCAGAGGATGGAGCTGGTGTGAAATACCACACGGAAATGAATGGGGATTTTGAGACTGAACAAAGAATTCTTAAATTGCTACAAACAAGCAAACAAACAAGGCAGGAGAAAGGAGCGTTCCTGCGAGACTGAGTCTCCTGACGGTGAGACTTCACGAGGATGGAAGGGAGAGCACATTCGGGAAGCAGAATGCATGTGTGAGAATCAACAGCCGGGTGGATTCACACACAGAAAGCTTTTTTTTCATTTTATCCTTGGGAAATAAGACACATGTGCATCCAAACTTTGTTTCTTTAAAAGGCATTAAACAGAAATTGAGCTGGATGTCCGGCTCTGTCTGGGCAAGTCCGCACTGCACTTGGCACCTAGGGGATGCAGCCCCGCGCACTGTCCCCCCGCCTCCTGCCTCCCACCCCCACGAGGCACAGCCACCCCTTACCGGGACTGGTGAGGGCTCCCAGGGCGCTGCTCGTGGTGGACAGGGGATTTGCATTGGTGGTGGTGGCTGAGGTCTGGGCTGCGGCTGCAGCCGCTGCCAGCGTTGCCAGATTCTGTAGCTGCAGAGCATTCATGCCTGTAGGGGGAAGACACATTAAATTTCAGCAACACGCCCACCTCGTGGGTTTTCAAAAAGAGAGGGCAGGTGGCAAGAGCAGAGGGCTTCATGATGGCACCCTGGCCCGAGCTGACCCCAGGGACTGGTGGGTCACCATGCTGCCCATCCCCACACAGGACCCTCCTCCCAACCGTCTCTCTCATTGCTGAGATCATTGGAAAAGTTAAGCCAGGGCTTTCTGCCACGTGGCTGTAAGAAACAAGGAAATCCAGGCTGGGAGGCTGGAGGAGCGGCTTCAGGGCAGTTTCCATCCCTGATCTCGGCGGGGGCACGGACAAGGTATTAGGGAAAAAATGATGCTTTACTGGTTGCAGTTCTTGCTCTGAAGTTGAACGGATACGGCGTCCTGGCTCCACCAGCTGTGTGACCCCGGGCAAGTTTCTTAACCTCGCCATTCTTGCTTAGTGAGTGGGAAGAGTTAACTGCACCTTCCCGCACATGGTTGTCATGTCTGACCACAGCTTCCATGTGTTGGGAGGGGGGTACATGGAGGGGCAAGAGAATAGTCTAGCAACATGTCTGTAAAGCCCCTGCCACTGTGTGCAGCCTCAGCCTCAGGGTGGCTCAGAGCTCAGCTGCCAGGCTCGCTGACGCTGCTCCTCTGTCCTGGCCACCTTGGTCAGGACTTATTTCTACTCAGAAAAGAGCTGCCACATGGGTTCTCCTTTTGCTCCAGGAGACACCCAGCCCTGGTGGCTTAGGGCCAAGCCAGCACCTGTTTCTCAAACCCATGTATTTCTGAGGATGCTCAGAAGCAGGACGGAATATTGGTGGCATCCTCTGCATGGGGCCCGGCTCTATCAAGCACGTGCACCGGGGAACAAAGCTCTCTCTCCTCGGATCAAGCGTCAGACAGGGTGGTACTGATGAGACCGCGTGAGGAGAGAAATCTCAGGTCCTCCCTTTCAGGTTTGCTCGAGGACAATGGAACCTGGACCCTGCTTGGGGCTTGGCTCCTGCGAGCAGCTCAGTGGGACGAGGGGCCGGGCTTTGAGGGGTGCTGCAGGGGGTGATGGGCATCTGCATGGACCCGTCTGGCTCCCGCGCCCCTAACGTGTAAATGATGTAATGCAGGCGACCAACTACATCACTGACAGATGGCCGCGCAGGTGAGGGGAGGGTGTAGCACAATATTACAGCCTGCACATCTGGCAATGGTTAACGACTAGCAGAGCCACCCTCCTTCGCCTGGGTCGGAGGGCTCCCCAGGACACTGGCTCTGACCCACCTGGGGGGGGGGCCACGGAGCAGGAAGGAGCTCAGCCTGCTCCTCTGAGACAGGGACTCAAAGCTGATGGCCTTGGACCCCCCGAGGCTGGGGCGGCGCTCCAGCCCTGCTCTCAGCCTCCCCCCGAAGTGACTGATAGTTCGTTAAGGAGACGGAGGATGAAACTCGGGGTGAGTTTCTGCATTTTCTGCGTGCTGTCTGTCAACTCCCGCTGCCCTCACCACACCCTGCTGGGACACTGCGGGCTCGTACTGCTCACCTTCCTAATTAGACACAAAGCCCCTGGAGGACAAGGAGATTGCCTTACTCACATTCAAGTCCACCTACAGTTACACACGCACACGCACGCACATGCACACACGCACGGCTGCATTCACAGTGGGTGACAGACGGACCCACGGCGATGAGGGAACAGGGCACCCAACAGCAGGAAACGGTCCCAAACTGCTCCAGAGCCTTCTCTACAGACCCAAACAAGGGTTTCCTCTGTTCTTTCTCGGTTCTTTGATATTTACAGCAGCTTCAAATATGGACTGTTTCCCTCAATCATTAACTAATCCATCCTACAAATATTTATCAGAACAGTGTGTTTTCCTTGTCTCACCCGCACTGACACTCACCGCTGTCCCGGAGCCCAGCTGACCACACTCGGGTGCTCGGTTCCACTGTCCTCTCCCTGCGTGTCCCACTCAGAACAAGCAGGTACATATAATCAAGCCAACAAAAGGAAACAAAACTAGCCAGAGGTTCTCCAAGAACCCCGGAGCTGATGGCTGAAACCAGGGGAGGGGGCGCCCGTGCCGAGGCCGGGCCTAGGAAGCTGGAGGCGGCAGGCATGTGGAGATGTGCCAGGCTTTCCCCCTTGCTCTCCCGTGGTTCCCTCTGCAGCCTGGATGTGGGCCATGGGGCAACAGAGGCACCTGTTCCCTGCAGCGTGTCCTTCTGTCCAGCCAGGCAGAAGCCCAAGGCCCCTTCTCTAGCCCGTCCCTCCCAGCGAGGACACCCCCGGCCTTCCAAGTCCTGCTGCCACGCCCGGCACATCACAGGGATGTGCCTGCGGTGCGTGGAAAGCTCGGGATGCTCCGGTAGGGCGGGCTCCCTGGACTCCTCCTTGACAGCAGCGCACGTCCTCGGCGATGGATGTTCTGGCTCTTCCTGCCCCTGACGTCCCCACAGCCAGAGGGCCTCACCCTTGGTGTGGACACCTCCCCTCCTCTTTGGGAAGGGGGCTTGGGGCTTGGGGGCCACACTGTTTCTGGGAAAGCACTCGGGAAGCCATGTGGACTCACCCCGAGTTTCATCCTCTACCTCCTTAACGGGGCCAGACTTTCCGAGTATCTGGCATCACTGTCTCTCCAGATCTGCAGCTGTGGCCGGCTCCGCCCCTGGCTGGGACGGGGCCCTCCACCCTGACTCTGCACTGCTCCCCTCCAGGGCCTGGCCAGCCCTGGGCCCCATGGGCCATCTGAGCAGGGGTGTCTGCTTCCGCTTGCTCTGAATTCACACTTCTGGTTCTCTCTCAACCTCTTGTGCTTTTTGGGGTGTGTGTGAGCACCCCCCCCATCTCCTTCTTAGCACCTCTCACAGCACCTCGGGTTTCCCGCCCACCTGGCCCCATCGTCTCCTCGTGGCTGCTGCCACACCACGATACTGAAATGGCACCAGATGGGGAGCAGGCAGCATCGCCCGGGGGTTGGGGGGGTGCTGGTTCCTGCTTGGCAAACAGCTCTTCTCTGAGAAGGAAAACCAGCCCCACTTAACCTCACAAAGCACTCTGCTGGGTGGGATGGGCCCCCTTAAACCAGGGGCAATCATCTGGGTGACTAGAAATGCAAAACATTTAAATAAGCTTTAGGAACTCCGACACTGTGTCAAGATCATGATGGCCAAAAAAAAAAAGTTGGGCAGATAGGAGTTCAACTTTTCAGTCATTTCCAGGGAAAAGAAAAACCCTTCTCCAAACTAAGAAATTATGTACCAGACAGATGAGCACTATGCCTACTTGAAACTTAAGATTTAAAAAAAATTATTTATAAGGAGAAGGGCATGAAAATTTAATTTAATGTTCACCTTAGGTAATTCTGTGTCTTATTGTTCGGAGCAATTACCATAAATCTGCATATCAATAAGCGAGAACAGATGTCAGTTGTTACAAGTGCTTGCCAATCAGGTCTGTTAAAAAGTGACAGATGGGTGGTTATGGAACATTCTCATAAGGCCTATTAACACTTTCAGGAAGTGTCGAGTGTGGAGTGTGGAGGGCGGGAGACTTGGCTTTGGGAAGATCTTGGGGTCTTTGTGGGTCCAGGATGCACACCTCACAAGTGTGTCCCCGATGTGAGGTTCTCAGCCTCCAGTCCACAATTTTTGCAAAAGTCTTCCCTCTTCTCCGCTTGTCACAGGCACTCTGAGACCATCTTCTCTGGGAGCAGATCTCCAGTGGGTAAAGCAATTGCTATTGGATTGTTTTAAGCAAATATTTGCACACGACAACTTCACTGCGACTTTGACCACTTAGACCAGATATTTCAGAGGCGAATGACTACCCTCTTTAATGACTGTCAGCAGTGAAGTGAAGCAGTTCTCCCTTGTTTATCAAAAGACCCTCTTCTTCGACCACAGCTCAGTACTTTCTTACAAACAATCCCTTTCCTAGAAAAATAATTCCCCGAACCAAAAACAACCCCCTCTTAACGAATTTGAAATGCTGTCCAGAATCAAAGGAGGTGAATTTCCTGTGATTGACGCTGAACTGTTTCTTTCTGAGCAGCTCTGGGGCTCCCTGTGTTGTTTATAGCTCAGATTTGTTTCTTATTGGCCTGTTGAATGCTCTGTGCAGCCAAGTCACTCTAGCTTGTTTTCACACAAACAAACCTGAATTTGAGGAGATGGGGAACATCGTCTGACAAGCTTGGGGGCAAGAAGGAGGCTCAGCGTTTGGGTCAGGCCAATTTGAACTTTGGGCCTGCCGTTTACCAGCTGAGTGACTTTGGGCAAGTTTGTTTATTAACCTCTCTCAGCCTCAGTTGTCCTACCTGTAAAATGGGATGCTAAGGGTCCCTACCTTATATAGTCATCATGATATTTGGGAATGTTGTAGTCTCATCCACAAAATGCCACTTACTGGTCTTTGGCCTCAATAACCTATTCAACGTTTTTGTACTTCGGTTTTTCCGACTGTTAGGTAGTACCAGGTGGTGGTTTAGTCCTTGGCCTGCTGTGAGGGTAAACCACGTGATTATTTCAAGGAGCTCTGTGAAAAACAAAATTGTGAAGTGCTACCCTTGTTTTTCTAACATGATTTTTTTTGAGATGATTGTTATTACAAAGACACCCAGGACCAAAAAGCCACTTTTTCCTTATTCCTTCTTCAGGGAAAATCCCAGACTCTTGCTCTGAGCTCAGACCCCACATTTGGGAGATTTCAGAAACTCACAGCACAAATACCACAGCTGAGTGAGAAATGGATACGTTTTTATCAGAAGTTTTAAGAGGGAAAAGAAAAATCAATCAACTTCAAGGATGCACAAAAAGTGTACATAAAAGTCAGCTTATAAAGATGCGGTCCTTCCTCATCTAGTTCTCTGCTTTCTGACTTCCTTTCCCTTTTATCAAATCATGAAACACATCTGAAGTTATTTTTTAGTTTGAAAGGAAAATACTAATTTTTTTTTTTGAAAAAAGTGGAGCTGATGTGTCACTTTACTGATGTAACTAACTACTTAGGAACTTGTTGCCTAAATTTTTTTCCTGTTTTCTTTTTTCCCAGCTTGCTTTTATCTTCTTCTCAAACAGAAAATGTTTACTCATTCAAATGAGACATTTTAGACTCTGGTGAGAAACCTCAGTTTCCTGAAGGACGGACCATTCTCTTTTGAGAGCTGTTCACAACAAAATACTACTGTTTTCCGAAATGATACTTCACTCTCTTTGGCGATGGTGTGCTCAGCTGCAGGACTTGAATTTTCCACGTGGAGTTTTTCACACGGCACCGGAGGACGTAAAAACCACAAGTGAATTGTGTTGACGCCCACTCTCATTCTGCTCCAATCTCCATCACTTAACCAGCAGTGTGGGCCCAGATGGGGTTTCGGATAAACTAAGGACCTCTTGGGTTCCCGCTTGTCACTTGCCGCCCACAGGGTGTGTACCATGTGCTGTGCACCATGTCTGATGTTGAGCCAACTCTCTCATTTCCTATCTTTGACAACTCATTCATGAAGATACTGACATTAGTTTATGGTGCTTGGCTACAGTCAAATGTCTTAATTCAAAAACCAGGCATTTAACTTAAGCTCCATTGGGAGTGTGTCCGAAACATAAATGGGCACCTGCTGATTTGTAAATTTACTCACTCATCCATCTGAAAACAGCCACCAGTGCCTCTTAGAGGAGTAAAGACTGAGGTCATCCACCCAGGCCATGCCCTCTTGGAGCACGGATGATTCAGGAGTATTCAGAGGTGACGGAGGAAGGGAAGGAAGGGAGAGTTTTTATGAGAATGTGCAAGAGGGGCTCCCCTCCCCCATTTTGGTGCCTTGGTTCCAGAAACTTCCTCCAAGAAGTGACCTCTAGCACTAATCCATCAGTGTTCAGGTTACAACACGGGCTTCGGTGACTGGCAGTGACAAAAGTTAACCATACTTTTGGGAGAAGATGAAAGAGCAGGGGGCCAAACAACTTTGTTGGGGAAAAAAACCCCTAAAAAACCCAAATCACATTACTTTTGACACTTAGGAAGATGAGGCTTCATTTTTCCTATGAATGAAGGGCGCTCGCTGTAGAAATGGCCAAGCAGACCGAGCACTGACATCTATATCCATCTCTGCTCTCTGTACTCGAGGTGACTGTAGAGAAATGACCCCTTGGCATTTGACTGCACGGCCTGGGCAGACTTAGTGTGCTGACTTTAATATGCCACGGGTCAGGAAAGGGGTATTTTGGAAATCCCAGAACATTCCAGACTGCCTTTAAATTGGCCACCTGCTCCACGCACCTTCGTCTTTTCATGAGCACGCAGAGCCCGCAGATGCTCAGATCCTGACCCACAGCCGGCCAGGCACAGGCACACACAGACTAATGAGGGGTGACAAGGTGCTCCGTCCACCCGGGAAGACATGAAGACATGCTTACCAGCTGCCTCAGGACCAAGTGGCCATCTCTGCATAATTCAGCTGTGGGAACGGGAGAGCCTGAGGCTTCCTCTAAGGAAAGACTAATTCTGGATCTGGGGCGCATGGGGGTGGGGCATTCTATTAGAAGAAAAATCTCATATTGGTAGAAAACGCGACACATTTTAGATTTATTTCAGAGCTTTCAATCTGGAGGTTTGCTCTTTTTAAAGAGAACTCCCCCAGAGAGTTCACTTCTGTCTCTCCAATTCCCTTCACAGAACTAAAGGCAAATGAAGCGTTCCATGTGATTTTCAGTGCCAAGGCCAACTTCCCCAACTGTACTCATAAAGATTCTGCTGAATGATGTAACTACCTATTATTTTAACATACATATTTTTTCTAATAATCCAAAAGCTTTAATACAACAGAACAAGCTGGCGGTGCTGGCAAACTGAAAGCTCAGCAAGCAGTTCAGCAGTGTTTTCACCAGTATGTCCCGTCAGACCAGTCACCACGAGCCCTGGAGGCCACCAGATAAAGCTGGGCTGACAACCACACAACACACAGGAGGGGAAACCTATGCATGCTGATCGGAAGTCATTTCAGATCCTCTTAGGACAGAAAAAAATCCAGGATGTGTATTTGGGAAAGAAGATGAGAAAAAAGGAGTTTTCATGGTGACAGATAAAGACATCAGGCTTCTGTGCTGTGGATCCCTTCTGTGTGTGGATCCCAGGTTCACGCCATGGCCTCGGGGTGTCCTTGATGAAAACAAACGGCTCGATTCGAATATGCCAAAAATCTGTTCCCCTCCTTGCCCGCTCACCCCTATTTCTTTTGGATCAAACAAGGAAGCAGCTTTCTCACTGCTCCTCGAGGCAGGTGAGCGGCCCCCGTGTCCTGATGCATCGTGCAGGACACCTTCCCTGGCCCGGCAGTGAGCTGGGACATCAGCCCAGAAGGTGACCCAGTAGGAGTGACCTTTCGCTAATCACCACACCTCCGTTACTCCTGACGCAGCTCATAATGAGAAGGAAGTCTTCATGAGCTGGCTTTCAAATCCAGTCACACTTTGATTTTCTCGAGAACAAAGACTATACTTTCACATAAAACTTCCGATGCCCCCATCCCGTCGACTGGGGGTTCACAAGTGGAAAAAGGCATCCTGTTAATTGTCTGCGGGTATCAAGGGACGGCAAACTGTGCCCAAGATAGGCCGGCCAGCTTGCCTTTCATTACGGAGGTCAGAACATTTTTTATTGACTGCCCGTTATTAAAACTTTAGAAGGATGTCAATCATGGTGACTGCTCCGGATAGAGGAATCCTGTTGGAAATTTCCCCAGTCTAGAGCCATCTTTTCAAAAACAAAAAAACAACTCTGGAGTGCACTCGGCAGGAACCCTCAGCTCCCTGATTTTATCATTTTATAACTGCTGGGTAATAAGTGGGGGCACCGGGCAGACAGGTGAAGGAAAGGGTGGGTGGTCCAGGAGACGGCTTTATGCTCGCCTCCAGCATAAAGGGACTTTACTCCTTCCAAATGAGTGTCAGCAAAAAACCAGTTAAAACCTGACAGTCGCAACTGCTGGCAGCGAGAAAGACTTGGCCAGACAGGACCCGGTGCTCATTGTAATATAATTAATATTCTGATTTAGCCCCCTACTCCATGGTTTTCTCTGCGTACACCATGGGTAAGGACATGCGCAAAGGGACCAAACGTGACTAAGCATTCCAGGGGCAAGGGCCTCCCATCAATCAGAAGACAGAGACCGCTGAGAATCCCCCTGGGATCAGCCCGCCTCCCGTTCTCGGAGGTGCCCTTTTCCTAAATAAATCCTTTAAAACCTTTTGCTACGTAAGGCTCTCCGTCTCCTGTCTGTGATCTTATCTTTTGGGTAAGACGAGGACTGGGGTATTTTCCTTCGGGGGGGAGGTAACATAACTGTTGGAGATGCCAGAGGGGGAAAATCAGCTTCTAAGTAGCTGACTCTGATTTTCGCACCTCGGCCAGAAAGCAAACAGGACTGGTCGTCGCCCTCTGGTCTTCTCTTCCCCCGCTGCTTCTCTCGTGTCCTCTGAACCCTGCCCCCCCCCCCCACCAGATTCAGACAAGAGCTTGGTCAGAAGGCAAGGCATCCTTCCAGACTTACCAGCCATCTGCTGAATGCCGCTGAACGCACCCAGGTTGCTGGAGGAGGTGGCCTGCTGCAGGAGCTGGGAAGGACAAGAGAGGTCTTGTCAAAATGCAGCCAGGGTGAGGACCAAGCAAAATTCCCAGGTCCGCCGGGGGACCACCCGCTGTCCTTCACATTTATGTGGTTGGCTCCTGCTGCTGCCTCTCAAAGGACTGAAGGTTCCCAGAGCTGGGGCTGTAAATCCGTATTCATGTCTAATCTCCATTAAGACACACAGACACCGGGGAAACTCAGTAACACTGCTGCCTTAAAACAATTAATCAACTTACACTTTTTAACAACCAGGTGTTAAATCTATGGAAGGCAACATGGCGTGACTAATGCTCTCTCTCTCTGGAGCCTCACGGTTACCCTCTCTCATCTCCGCCAATCAAGGTCCATCCCTGGGTCTCCTCCACTCTCCCTCCCAGCTCAGTTTCCCACATCCTTCACTAGAAACACCTAGAATCACTGACTCCTGGGCTCACAGAGAAATCATCGCAGTAACGACACATATAAATGTATCTCTTCATGGCTGTCCAGTTTCAGCTGTTCTACAGGACCAAGACAACGGTCACCCATTTTAAGGTGGTCTTCGCTGGCAGAGAGAAACACACTATTTGTCAGAACTTAGGAGTCTCTGGTGCTATATACCTTGATGCGATGCATTATAAATACATCAGCATCTCCTAAAATGAAATTAAGACAGCTGGGCAAAGGGGTCTGCATTTTGTTCCAGAGCTTCGAAAAATACATTATCCCCCACGTAGCATCAGTGGGTACCACAAGGAAAAGGCAGGTGGTTCCTGTTCGAAAGGGCTCCTTTATTTGTCCAATTCAGTTGAATTCTCTCTTCGCTAAGACTGATCAACACAGCCGTAGTTTGTACGTGGGAGCAAGTGTGGAGCTACCTCCTGTATGTGAATGCCCTCAAAGCATAGACTTGCCAAATTTATTACTGAAACCTGCTATGATTTTATGAGCTTGGGAGGAACCAGATGAATTGACTATTTAAAAGATAAGCTCTCAGGGTTTATTCGGAGCTCTGCAAAATGTAACAGAGAGCACTGTCATTCCTCCAGGTATGTGTAGGTCTCCTTGGCTTCAGAATATGGAAACCCTATAACAGGGTATGACTCAGCCATGGGCATCTATCAGTTGACTTAGAAGCACTGAGCAGAGTAGAACAAGTCTTAGTTACAATGATATTATGGGGATGAACGTTAACAGTTACCAGAAATACGTCTGCAACCTTCTCTCATCCTTCTCGACTCGGAGTAACACACTAGCTAGACACGACACACAGACAGACTATGCAGTGAGGAGGAGGAAGGAGCAAGGGACAATCCATTTTGATAGAAATCCCTCCTCTTGGCTTGATTTCCTGGGTTCCTCATTCCCTGTGGCGGCAAGCCCTACCTCTCTCTATCAGACACTGAAAAAAATGAGTTAAGCAAACTTCAGTTAGCTCTGGAGACACTGTGAGGGGTTAGTGACACCTACTGAGATAAGTGGCCCTACCTGGAGTGTCATTAACTGTCTCCAAGGAGTCTGCCTACTGACGCCCACTCTCTGGGGAGCCAGAGTCAGAATCTGTCCCCAGCACAGAGGCAGGAGATGCCTCACAGGCCTAGGGTCCTTCCACAGACATGCGCTTCCAGCCAAAAGGGGCAGCACACACCTGGCTGAGAAAGAGCGGACGCCCACGGTGGGAGAAAACATAGTTCAGCGCTTGTAAGCACGTGCTTTTCTAAATGGGCGGAGATGAATTCCTCTTCAGGGTTCAGGAATAATTTTCAGATGTGATCAAAGAAACACAGACCAGAGATTCCTGTAAGTCGGGAAGGGGATGGGGGGCCTAGGAAATGGGCCAGCAGACCAGGGACACACACAGGGGTCCTGCTTTTCAGAAATGGTGGAGCTGGAAGCTGGATTCCTAGAAACTATGAAAGGGTGAGCTCGACATCCATCTCCAACAGAAATTCTTCTAATGAGACCGATGACGATCTGGGAACAACTGAGAAGCTCAGCCTGGTGAAAAAGAACTGATGGTTCAGCTAGAACCATCATGAAACTTCAAGACTGATTGACTAAGAAAAAGACAGGGTGGGGCTCAAAGAGGTTTTACCGAGGCATGTGACGAAGTCTCTCGTGGTCTTTGTGGATAAAATGGAGAAACGGCTGGAAGGTGATAGCAAACTTGGTCAGTACGTTTTTATTAACGACTCAGATGAAACCAGGAGAAGCTTCCCCGGCAAGACATCCAAACACATCTTGAGTAGCTAGTACCTGTCAGACCCCGACAGGCACTGGGGCGTGGTGGGTGCAAAGAGGACGGGGGTCACATCGGACTCAGAGAAGTAGCACAGCCAGAGGGAGGGCTGACATCCCACCCAGCCACCAGCCCCATGGTCCTGGCTAACGTCATGGACCTCTTTAGGTCTCTCCCTTTGCTCACCTGTGCGATCGGGCTGATCTTACGTTCAAGGTCACGGGGAGGACTGTTTGACGGAACGGGACTGGGTCTGCTACAAAGGAAGGCTAATGGCTCAGACAATCCTGAGAGGGACATTCACAGGTCAAAGGACAGAATTAGGGGACACACACTGACAGAGGCTACAGGTAAAGACCCCGGTGCACAATATGAAATTGTATCCGTAAACGTGTAGTCCAGCATTGGGGTTCCAAAGCAGATGAGTGGGGTAGAGGCGTATGACTGAGCAGCAGTTTAAGCAAAAATAAAGAAAATCTTAGAGGAGTATCAGCTGCTTTCTACCACTCCCAAGCTACACTAAGATACCTCACAGTCCACACTAGAGGTCACTGCTCTGTGCTGTTTAGATCTTACTGGAGGAACTATCTCACAGCCCAGTTAAAGCATTTTAATAAAGAGTGACAAAATGAAATGAGCACCAGAGAGGCAGAAACAAGGAAGTGAAAGTTTAGAAACAACGAAATGTCAGGGTTGGTTGAGAGAACTAGGTCTGTTCGGTGTGAAACAGGATCTTGTTTTTTTTTTTGGTTTCAGATCGATACAGAAACATGTGACGGAGTCTACATGGCTCTGCTGGGAAGACCCAGGACCACAGAAGGAAAGTCCCAGGGGGCTTCCATCTGAGGCCCTGACGTCCGCAGACCTGGGAGGCAGTGAGTGCTCCGCCCACGGCTACAGAGTCCCCTGTGGAGTGTGCCGCCCCCTCCCCATGCGGGATATTATGCTGAAACGCTGATCAGCAATTCGGCCTTGCGGGGCTCTGCTCAGCCTCCATCAGGCTGCATGAAGCTAGTCACGTCCCTATGCTCATCGTTTTCACCTGGAAAAATATTCTGCACCAATGCTGATTCCAATAATTTCCTGGCTTTCACCATGTCCCAGAAATGCGTGTTTTGGTGGATTCAGGGGACAGGGGACCACAGGCCGCCCGCGGTCCCCGGCACTTACCGCCAGGTACTGCGGGGTGAGTCCGCCCAGACCCGTCAGGTTCCCCCAGGTGGCAGTGTTGAGCTGTTGCATCTGCTGGGCCAGCTGCTGCTGGAGGCGCCTTTGCTCCTTGTCCTTCTGGGTATCAGCGAACTTCACCACGATGGGTGAAGAGCAGCCCTGTGGTCAGACACAGCGGAAAGTGAACAGGGGGTTACAGCCGGGTCGACTCCGCTCATGACGCGCAGTCAGCACGGGGTCTAGCTTCCTGAACTACCCGGGAGCCCAGGGACGGGGCTGGCATGGTTTCTAAGCGGTCTGATGGTCTTTCTTCTTCTCGGAATGGTACCATCAACAGACAGTTCCAGACACTGTCACCGGTGTCTCGGGGGCTCTGGTGGTCGATGAAGCCATGTGCTTCCGTGCTCTGATTATGACACTGCCTTGCCTTCTCTCTTCACGGGTCTTCCTTCGACCATCCCAGGACCTCCTCAGAGACAGGAGACCTTACTTTTCTTTATTAAGCTCCACGGTTCGCTTGTCTCAAAGATGCACTTGTCTTTGTGTGTCTGCCTGTTTCCATGTGTGAGCAGGGAACAAAGGGGGAGCAGTGGTAAGGGGAATGAAGATGCCTCTTGCTCATTTAGTTTTCATTCCTTCCAACGTTTAGTTATGCACTTTGAACTTTGGAACCATGGGAAACCACTGACCCAGGAATATGATCGGGAGAAGTGGGTTTTGTTTTACGAACGTGGATGAAGGAAGGAGAGATTCAGGGAACACAGGCACGGGCCAGTGTCCTGTCCCCACGTTTTCAGAAGGGTTTCTCCACCTGTATGACATCTACTGTACGCGGGTTCCCAGGGGCTCCTGTATCAGAAGCACATTTTCATCAAAGGAGATAGATCTTAAATAGCAGAGATCACTGCTTGGTTTCTTTTCCTAATTAAGCTCATTGTCCTAGAAGGTTCTTTCCATGGTCCCTTCCTTTAAAAAGCAAGGAAGAGGGGGAGTGAGTGAGTGAGAAACGGCCAAGGTTCTAAAATAGAACGATTTCATGTCTGAGACAGAGAAAAATCATGAGGGAAACTAAGGGCCTGACACCTTAGGCAGGACGACTTCCTTTCAAAAGCACCTTTTCCGTGTTCACCACTCGGTAAGTACTCTGCAGAAACCAACTCTCCTCTCTCTCTGCATACCTGCCTGTACATTTCATCACAATTAAAGCTGCTGAGATAAAAAGAAGTAATTCTCCTCAAGTGATTAAAAAAACTCTTTTATTGAAACTCAGCATGACTTTTACTGAAACTCCCCTCTTCTCAGAAATCTTCTACTCCTATTGAAATGAGCTTTCCCCCTTTCCTTCTGGGTCATTTTTCTTTCTCCTACAAAAACAAAGTTGCATTTTTTTTTCTTATCACCTGGGGGAGTTACTGGGGATGTAGCTATGAATACGTGAGGCTATCAGGTCTGATATTATCCCCCAAAATGTGAGAAAAGTGAGTGGCTGTTTCAGTTGTGAACTTCCAACGGACCTGGTCTTCAGCTCTGGGGGTCACATCACAGCACTGAGTGTTAAGTGTCAGTAAATTTCTTAAAGGAGTATTTCCACCATTAAGAAAAAAATCTATACTTTATTTTTCTTCATCTGCTCTGTATTTCAGCACTTCATCACTTTAACGAGAGCAAAACACTCTGAAGGTGGAAATTACAGAAAGCAAGGGTTTTGCATGGAAAAGGGCTGTTACTGTATCAAATTTGTTCTGTAACAAATTATAGCATCTCATCCTAATAGTACACTTACTGTTGGCTTTTTTCTTCCTTCAGTGCCCCCAAAATGCTATAAAAGCAGAAAATTAGGCCAATAATTATAGCTCAAAAATGACTTGGATTAACCATGAAAGGGAAAAACAGGATGGGGAGAGATTGGAGGAAAGTGGAAAAATCTAGGTACCATATAAAAATTAATGATTTTTTTTTAAAAAGTATTCTTTCAAACTTTTGATATTCACATCATTCTGAATTCAAATCTCGTAGATAATGTATCTTGGTTGAAGGTGTGAGCCTGGGTCCTGAAAATAACGTAGTTAATTCAAAAAAACAAACTTCAATTGTACAACTATGAGGCTGTGTCATATGTAATCTTTCATTTACCTGTCAGTATTTTTGAATTAAACAAGAAATTTAAAATAAAAAAAAAGAAATTGTAGTGTCTGAGGGCCCTGCTGATTAAGCATGGATGTCCAGATTTAAAAACAAGCGCATTGAATTTGATTTCTTATAATAGTGATATTCACAAAGGATCGAGGGTTTCTTTAAGGATAAACATGTCCCCTTCTCTATCGTTAAGTTCCTTTCCTTCTGAGAGCCTATTACTTCCCTGGTTCGGGCTCACACCCAGTTCTGCTGTGCATCCTTGTAGCCTCCTTCTGGGAAAACACAGGAGGACACAGACCTCCGCTCAGGCGGGCGCCCGGGGTGGAGGAACTGGGTGCGGTGGCAAAACTTCCAACAGAGCTGAAAGGGTTCTGGCTAAAAAATCATCTAAGGTGAGACCAATTTAGGTACAAATCACTCAAGGACAGGAAATAAAAATAATTAAGAATGAAACACATATATATGGAAGATAATAAATACAGGTCACAGCTTTCTTTTTCTTATCAGTACTTTCACTTTCCATCTCCAAACTGACATGTAGCTGGAAACCAGACTGGTCCACGATAACGGAGCAGCCCAAGATGCAAAAAGGCGGGGGGTGGGGGAATGCGAAACCATGATCACGGGTGTATGTGCATGTTGTTCAAAACTGGATTCCTAGACATTTCAAATTCTCTGCTAATTCTCTCTTATCGTGGCCGATTTTCACCTGAGCTGGCCTTCACGTAGGGGGAGGGAGTGAGTGTCTTAAAAATGCATTGCACTGAAAGGAAAACACAGTGATTATATAAGATATGTTAGGAATATTAAAGTCAAAAGGAAGTTCGAAAAAGACAAGAGGCTTTGCAATGCTGATGTATCAAAACTCAGAAAAGGACGGTCAACACTTAATGACAATGCCATGCACACGCCTTTCCCCCCTTCCACCCGCCCTCTGGCTCACTCTAAAAAGGTTGCCCACAAAACATGACCCGTGATGATCACTGAGCTCCCGGCATGCTTCGGGAGATGCAGCATTGCAAAAAAACAAACAAAAACAAACGGACAAAAAAAAAAAAATTAATAAATATCCCCTCCCCCCAAATGGAGGCAAAAAAAGAAGCTCAAACAAGAAAGAACTTTCGGCACATTAAAATAAAACCGAAAAAAATTATTTTTTTCTTTTTCTGAAAGATGAAAAACATCACTTCAGAGAACACCACAAAGCTACCTCCAGAAGAGATCACCCGCACACAGAGATACAGTTTACATATACACCAGAACATGCACTCCCGAAGGGTTCTGTCAGACAATACAGAGTAAGTAACAGCATCTCACTCTTGGAATGCTTTTGTGCAAAATTCTGAAAGGCCATGACCCAAATCACAGACTTGAATTACAGAGCCATTGTCTACCTCCGGGGACCCACGCCCATTAAATATTCATCTTCCCCAAAAGCCACTGTCTCTCATTAGGAGACCAAACTTGAGCCTTTGTGTTTCTTGGTTATTGTTCGTATTTTTTTAATAAGGTGACAAATTAAGTTTTTGAGGGACTCTCATATGTGAATACTTGCACTGGTTAATGGACGTGGGAGAAGTATTAACTTTCTCCAACATTCTGGATGCAAAAACGCAATTCTGTTTGTCTAGACTAGAGATAACTTGACCCCACGTTAAAAAAAAAACAACAAAAACTAAAAAGAAAAGAACGAACCCTGTGATGTAGCGCAGGGCCAGCTGCAATTTGGAGTGGGGGTGGTTACGGTCTAATCCACGCCACCCCTACGCTGGGGGACGCCCTCGATCTTTGAGGTACACAATGATACTTGGCTTACATGGCATCATGAACTTTACATGGCAGGACCTGGGCCCCTGCAATAAAAGGCTCCAAAAAGAATGTAGACTAAGTGGAAGGTTTCACTATGTGCATCTCCAGTCATTAGGGGAAAAATCAGAAAGAGAGTGAGAAAGAGAGAGAAGAAGAGAGGGAGGGAGGGAAGGAGGGAAAGAGAGAGAGAGAGAGAATGAATGAACGAGGAGAGAGGTGGTGAAAGTTTACATCTGTGATTGTCATGTGAACAATCCACACAGGAGAGAATCGCTTTCCATTCCCCACCATTTGCACAAAGAAAACAAAGAAAGGGCAGATGATACAGTACCTCCATGGTCTGAGACTGATGCATGGCTTTGATTGCATTCTGTGCCATTGCCCTTGTAGAAAATGTGACAAACGCACAGCCTGTGGGAAACAAGGGGACAGGGAGCAGGAAAGACAAAAAACAACAAGACAAAAGGTTTGGACGCTTGTTAAACCAACACAGTCTACGAGAACTGCCACAGGACGACACTGTTCTCAGTAGTACATAAAACCAACAACTTCTCTCTTTGGATTCATCTCGGGTCGCTTTTTACTTACAGTGCTGACTTGCTAATCGGACCAAAGCAGAAAGATTGACTGCTTGCTTGATTAGATTATTTACTTATTTTTTAAAATGGAGTCCGGGGGTGAGGGGGCAGGGATGGGGAAGGAAGCTGGGTACTCATTGTTTTTTTTTTTTTTCAGCCACTGGTTTGAAAATTCCCAAAGACCTAGTTTGTCATTTTCTAAAATAGAAAGTTGCTATTTTACATTTTCTTCCTTGGCTGACTATCTTGACTTCAGGCATCCACCCATTCGGGCTTTGTTCTTTCAAATGGGAGCCTTGCTTTTTAAGCAGCAGATAACAAAATCCTCACACCCAGGGCAAATTAGCAAATGGATTCCAAGAGCTCGAAACGTCAGCCAATAAATGTATCTCACCTCCTCTGAGTAGTTAAAAAAATAGACATATGTATACATATACATTGATACTATTCAAATGCAAACAGAATAGATCCCAACCCTGTACCAACTATTTAGTAACTGTTAATGAGGAACAAAAACAAATGCTAATTTCTCTGGGAATAGTCAACCGTGCATGTAAAGTAAAATTTAAAAATTTGCGTTGGATTTCTTATTTGCATCAAACCTTCATGACTTTTGAAAGTTTCGACTTTCGGATTCCCACCAGAGGTCTGACCTCAAGTGCAATATACACAAGATCATGTACATTTCTCTAAACCTCCCGGGAGACTCATCGAACTTTCCGTGGCTATTCTACTCTCCTGCTGGAAAACAGCTAGACTCTATAGTGCCTGTTCCTCTCCTTGTAGCAGCGTTGGCTACCACGCAGGTCACCGCTCCAACTACATGGCTCATTGCCCTTCCCACTAATAAAAACACTGCCTTCTGAAATTTACATTTTATTCATCACGCACCCTTGGGCTTCGCAGAGAAAAAGACTGTGAAATTCATGCAGATTCAGGCTGATTTTATAATAATACCACAGCACACTAAAAGCTTAGCTAAGGCAACGCAGACTATTTCACTTATGATCTCTAATGACTTGAGTGCATTGATTTTCAGCGTCTCTAGCCTGGCGCAGTTTGAACTAAGGTATCAGAGAATAATTTAGTGTTCCACTCAATTTCCTCAAAACATTCCTATTATTACTACTTAAAAGATTTCCAAATGAAGCAGATCCAAAGACTGAGGGTCTGAAGCCTGCTGTCATCTCAGAGCGAGTGCCTCAAAGGCAGAATTCTGGCACCAAGCGCGAGATGGGTTGCTGCTGTGGCCGGGAAGCCACATGGAACTTTGTACAGCCAAACATCCAGCGGATGGCTTGGCGTAGGTGAATCTCTGTGTGAGCCATTAAATACATTTTCTTCACTGGCTCTGCATGTGTACCTGGTGAGATTATCAAGTCAATACTGTATTAGCACCTTTTAATCAAACAGCAAAAGAGAAGGCAACACCTGCCCATTTAACCCCAAGGCACAACAACATCCAATCATGAAAATAAGTCAATGCATTTTTTTTTTGCATCAGGCTGTAATTTTTAATACAGAAAAACTCTCAGTCCAGGGGAAGTTCATCTCATTCACCTCCCTCTTAAGTTGTCCTCATTGAAGCCTGACGTCTAGCTCGCTAAGAACATCAAGCTGTTTCATACAGTTTTCTGACGTTACAGCAGCTGGTGATGCCGTTTCAACATGCTGCCTGTACCCATACTGACTGTGGCTTTTGTCATCAATAAAGGCAATTTGGTGGCCTTCTCCAAGGCATCTAGATGACATGTGGAATACAGTGTAAGACATATGACATACCTCTGCTGGGTCCCATACTGAAATATACTCAGCTCTGAAATTAGAGAGTCTTAAATTTACCATCTGTTTCAAAGTCATCTCTCTTCAAAAACATTGTGATCAGTACTGGCATTGCTGACAGAGGAAATAACACTAAAAGATTTCTCCTTTTCATTTCTTATCTTGAGACGACAGTAGAGCATGCCATCTGATGGAGCCGTATTTGAAACCATGCAGAGCCTGGACTAACTCTGCTTTTAATAGTCAAGAAGGTTGTTTCATTCACTTCATTGGCTCTTAATACCCGGGAGCATGTGCCAAACTGACAGTTTCCAAATGGAGGTTAAGAATGCATAGAAAACACGTAAAATGTCAACAAAAATCAATAAGGTACAGTTTACCTTCAGAACAAGCAGAACTTGGGTGAGTAACTGACTTCGTGAGAAAGATCTAACAATGAACAAGGGCTCAAAAGAAAAGTCTGAGCAACAGGACGATGAAACTCTCTCTCGATAAACTGGAACTGTTGCCCTTTCTCTATGAAAACTGCAATTAAAAGCTTGACTGATGCTTCTAATTATACAATCCTCATCCCATCCAAAAAAAAAAAAAAAAAAAAAGACCTGACAAACCCGATGACTTCTTTAACCTTTTTATTCTATCAGGGTGCGGTTAGGGACACCTTGTCTCCTGGGGGCTTGGTCAGGTTCCATGCTGTGTGTGGTGTTCAGTTACTTGAGAGAGAAAATGACTATGTCACTCAGAAAGTGGGAACACGGGCTACACAAGACTCCCTCTCTCCGTCACTCCAGGGGAAGCTAACTTCAGAACCCAGTGTTTCACGGATGGCTAGCTTGCTAACCTGTGTCATGTCTTTAAAACAGAAGGTCAAGGTAGTCCTACGGCTAGATTTTCACTTTCTTTTCAAAACCACTGAAAACACGGGCTTTGGGGTGAGGCTGCCTATCTGTGACTTTCTGCTAACACAGGTCACACGGGCTCCTCCCATCACCGTGGGCTGCTGGCTCCTTCCACAAGCTCACCCGCGGCTTTTCCCCCGGTGAGAAATTGCTTTGGTCAATTACCCCCTTCTTTTTCTGAAAACGAGCTTCTGGGGACAGTGGAGTCTACTGGGTCTGGAAAACTGCTCTGATCTTGCAGGGTCAGCCCTTGACTGTTCTAGACTGTTCCACATGGGGTGCCAGCAGTCAGTTCTCTGGCTACTGATCAAAATGCAGAAGAACTTAGACTGCAGGAGTAAAAAAAACAAATCAAAACTGGTACCAAAATAGTGAAGCTACTTTTTTCTTTTTTGGGGGGGGTGGGGGGTGGGGGAGGCTGGTAAGAGATCCCACATAGTACCATCTTAAAGCCTCCAAATGCCTAATGGAAAAACTAAAAGGCAAAAATTCCACCTGTAGATGTGTCCAACCTGTAATTTAGCTGTCCATTATTTATCATCTCCACTTTCAGAATGTCAGAGATTGCTAATAGAAATGAAAGGAGTTGAATTCCTCTTATTTCGACGAGGTTACCTTCTTGCTGCTAAAATGGACACGTGATTGACTGGGAAAGGTTTCTCCAAGTAATTTCCTCCTACAGACGGGATCTAAGGAGAGCAGATAGGCCTGTCACACAGCAGATTCTGGAACACATCTATTCCTCCTGTCATCTTGACTGAAAGGCTATCTTAACTCAGGTGTTCTAGCTTTTCTCTAGGCTGCAAGAGACTTTTGAGAGATCTAGGTGAATTCTTGCTCTGCACCAAGGAGAAAAAAAGGAATAAAGCAAACAAAGAAGTACCAGCACTTTCAAAAGCACATACAATGCCAGGGCCTCTTGATTTCCTGCCCTCCTTTGAAAGAGGAGCAGCAGCTGCTTTATTTCAACCGAGGGAAACCTAATTTAAAAGAATTTGTGTGGCGTGAGGAGGTTTCAGCCTATGGAAAACTTATCTACAAATTCCTTTTCAGCCAAAGCAAGATTTAATGTGGCCGATTTTCCTCACTGTATTTTTTGAGCAATGGCAGGATTTAAACAGATGCTATCAGGATGGTACTGGAGCATCAAAATTAATACCCTAATGGACAATCCCCAATGTGGGGTTAGTTTATTCAAAATTGGCAGGGAGCGATCATTTGCTTTTGGCACCCGAGGTTGAGTGCAGACGAGGACTTTATAGTTGGCCAAATCTCATTCCTGAGATGAGACTGGAAGATTGTACCCAGAGCAAGACAACAAGATGCAGTTAATACCCCAGGGGGCATCTGATAGAGGTTTCCACATATCTGAATGTTTGGGTACCACATGGGCAAGACTAAAATGTCGTGATCAGAACTAAAGTCCTCTCTGTGTACATGTTTTAAGTGTCAAAAGTCCTATCCCAATATCCCGATCAGATAAAACAAAAACAAATGAGGATTTAATAGCTAAATCCACTCTGTGCTCAGCAATGTCCCTGAGAGTATTGCCAATTCATTTGACAAGGGTTTTGGCAGGAGGCTGTTGGAACACCATAAATGCAGCTGGAATATTCTTAAACAAGCAGAAAGTTACCTTAAATGGCAGTGAAGATTTGACTACGGTTTATGGGAAAGAAAGATGAAATCAACCCCTTCACTGTCTCTGAGTTACAGATATTCAATTGCCATGGCATTGCAAACCTGGCACATTGGACCCAAATAGTCCATTCCGACTATGGGATTGTGGGTAAGCGAGAGTATGTGTATTTGAGGAAATCAACATGCTATAAGGTGACACTGGCCAATAAACACATTGGCTTAGAAGCCTCAAGCTTTGATTCTGAGAGCAAACATCTCATTTCACTTGCCACGTGTGGGCCTGGCAGGTGGACCTGTTGTGCAGACGGTTCTGAGCATCAGGAGGGGCTGAAGTATCTCAAACCAGATTTTCCAAATTAAGGGGAAAAAAAAATGGCAGAATGGGTTGCTGCCTGCAAAGGGGAAAAACGCATGTTTAGATGTGGGTGTACAGCGGAAAGTGAGGCAGAGTCCTGGTACCCGTCGGGTGGTTGTGACAGGCTTGGCAGACACTGTCCTTACAGAGGCATGACAGTTTCCTGGGGCGGGGGGTGGGGGGAGGGCAGTCTGTCTTAAAACATGGTTCAGTTCTGGGTGCTGGTGAGTAACTCTGGGACTTCTAAAATTGTCTTTCTTGCCAAAGTGTAGATCGTGATTTTTTTATTTTAAAAGACAGTGATTCTAATGGAAAGTATAGCAGGGCTTCAGGGATACAAAAACGTGGGTCCTGGCAGCCCACTATTCCGACGTGGGGCGGGGGCACTGGTCAACAAGCCCGGAGGAACCTCAGTCTAACATCTGGATTCAAACTACTGACGGTGCAGAGAAGGAAGGACATTAGACACCTGCTGGGGAGCCAAGGCTATTAAGTCTCCGCTCTCACTCTTACAGCTGAACTGAGCAAAAGAAAAAAAAGAAAAACAAATGTGAACAGCCCAACAGCTCATCTCCCTCATCATAATCAATCAAATGGATTGATTTAAAACCTTTTCTGTTGACTACTTTGTACCCCGGTTTAGCACTAGAAGATACTTCCCGGAGCAGCCAAGCTTTCATTTCACTTCATTTTTATTTATTTTGTAAACAGCTGAGCCAGCAGTAGGCGATGAGACCAGAAATGCTGAGCACCCCTTGATCTCCAGTGCCGCTAATGGGAGACACTTGTTAATATTTGATTGCAAAAATGCAATTCTTTAATGAAAGCAAAAGAGGAGCATGAAAGAGAATTGTTCTGTCAACAAATACACTGATTCGGGAACAGTCCCCAGTCCCCAGGAGTCCCTGGGTCCTGCTAATTGAAAAATGTACCACTGTCTGTCTTTATATTTCAGAACAAATGGCTCTAAATGAATATTTTCTTTTCTTTTCTTTTCTTTTTTTGCCACAGGGAATTCTCATCAGTTGGTCAGAAATTACTTTTCTGTTAAAAAGAAAGGGGGCAGGGAGGAAGGAGGACTCTCAACCAGCATTTGCCTAAAATACTGATGAAGTGCTCACATAACTGATTGCAGAAGTAGGCTGTTCTGGTGTCAAGTGCTGCTTCATCGAGCAAACGGCAGCTCGAACTGACCAAGTTCTCCAGTCAAGTAGTGTCCCGCTCTTTCCTATGAAAGTGTTGGCTCTTTTAAAACCTCACCTGCAGAGGTAACTAACGTCCACTCAAAGACCTCTAGACACCAGTGCTCCTGTTGGCACCAGTGCTCTTGATCACTGTCCCCACTGGACAGATGGACAGTCAGCTTGTAAACTGGGAGAGGGAGGGCAGGATGTCCAGTCTTCCCACTTCACAGTCAAGGCCTCCACCACGAAACCCTACGGATGGTCTGCTTATACAAAAAGCCTCCCACGGCAGGAGCTGATCATGTCCTTTGAGGAGCAGGGCAGATACTTTGCTGCCATTTTCAATTGGGGAAACTGAGGGACAAGATAGGAAAATGAATGGACCATGCCCGTGTTTCATGTCAGGAGAATTTCTAGGACTGGGCCCTGTGGCCATCCACCTCCCAGGCACCGTAAATCTCCCTGTTAGTACTTAAGGGCCTGCCTGTCCATTCTTTCTCCATGCTGTATGCCTTGGTGAATGCAAAAATGCAATGATAACACGGAAGTCAGAGAAAAATAATCGGAGGGAATAGCGGTTCTTATCACTAAATTGGCAGCAGAAAAGGGATCACAGAAACGTTGCTGTGTCTTTCCTGCATATGTAAGTTTTCACTCAGCCATGCTGCTCTGTCTGGCGGTGTTTGCGCTCCTGGTTTGTCTGCCTATGTGGGCATCTACCATCATGGCTGCCCAGGATCAGAGGATCAGAGTGGGGAGAAGCTGAGCTCGCCACGTGGGAATCTGCCAGGATGGCACAGAGGGAACCAGGGTGGAAATCCTGGGATCCTTCTGCCTGTGAGGTTGTGCGGGGGCCAGAAGTGGTACAGGGCCCTGGCACAAGGAAATATGTTAGGTGGTACAGCTCAAGGCACAGATGGCAAGTGACAGATCAGCCTCCCCCCCTGCTTGGGGACCCCACTCGACATCATGCCTTATTCAGCTTTTAGACTCACATCTTCCAGGTAGTGTTAGGTAACACAAGTTTCAGAACTCTTAGAGAATGTAAATTGTCATTTCCATGTCTCCCCCCTCCCCCGTTTTTTTAAAGCACCTTCAGAAGAAAACATAGGGACCACAAGCTAGGAGTTATTCCTCCAGACCACCTCCGTGCTGGGGCTCTGGAGGTGGGGGCAGGTGGAAAACTTTTGTTCCCTGTGCCTTCAATTCTGACAGCATGAAGCTTTCTGTCTGAACATCAAAGGAACAAATCTTCCTCCTCCCAGGGCGCTGAGTTAGGTAAAACTAGGGAGATGAGTCCCTTGGCCTTGATTACTGGTCTTAACCTCTTCTTTCCAGACGTGGTCTGGGGTGGCAGTGCACACCCAGAACCAGAGACTGGGAGAGGAGAGACGGTTCTCATTAGCCCCATGGAATGTGCACTGAAAACTACATGAATTGAATGAAACCTTCTCTGTGTTGCAAAAACACAGATTTCTTACAAGAATGGACAAATAAATGCGCTTTATGGGTGCATCTGGGCCTCCCCGGGCTGACTCAGGACACTAGTCTGATGACTGGGAACAGGGTGACAACCTTTATGAGCGGTTCTAAGAAGGAGGTGTGTGTCACTGTCAAAGCGGGAGGTAAATGTGGAAAGAGAACAGTTATCTCCAACTCCGCCGTCGCTGCGTGGGAAACACTGGTTTTCATCCAGGCTCGGGCCCTGGCTTTTGCCTCTATTGTGGTGACAAAGAAGAACCTACAATCTTCTCCTGGACAAAGTCATTTCTCTGTCACTTAATGGACTCCCTGCGCTTGGGACTCCAGGAGTTTTGCTCTTTGAAATACAACCCTAACACCGAGTCCACATCTGCTCTGTGCTACATGAGGATGGTTTATTTCTCTGTCTAGAGGCCCACACCCTCAGCGTTTCTCTCAGGCACAGGCAGAAAGCCAGAGGACTAAGATGCAAAAAGCAGATCTTCTCTCTCAACCCCAGCTCCCCCACCCCCCTGCCAAATCTCCCTCAATTTCAGCCAGAAAAGGGACGTGTGGTGACAGGGCAGCCTGTGGGCTTCCTCCGTCTGACAGTGCTAACCTGAGCTAGGATGTCGGCCCTAAGGTCTCCTCGACTGGAGAAATAAAAGGTGATCATTTCAGCTGTGGTGAAAAGTTCAGGTCGGGTAACTTCGTCCCGGGGGACGCATCTCAGGGTGACCTCTGGCTGCATGCGGTGGCTACGTCTACCCTGACTGGGACACAGAGCTCCAATTTGCACGTGAGGGAGGAGACTTTCCAGGCAGCACACTCACCTCGACTGAGCCCGTCGGGTCCCCGGAGGATCCGGCACTCTTCGATCTGGCCGAACGGAGAGAACATCACCCGGATGTCATTCTCATTACATTTCTTCGAAACCATTCCTATGAACAGTTTTCTGTCTTCCACGGCTAGGAGACAGAGAGAATGGATGAGAAAGGCCATCTCATCTTCTTCCCTGTAATCAACACTTCGTCACCACATCTGACCAGGTCCCAAGGCTAACTCCTTAGACACCCAGGCTGCCTTCCTCAGCGCCACACGCATCTCGCCCCTGCTCCCCAACCCAGCCCTTCCTCGACATCTCATCTCTGATTTCAACGCTGGGAGCTTGCTCTTACTAATAAAACGACTTCATAGGACATGAAACACTGTTTTTAAGTCCTCCTCTCCCATTTGGAAACAAACAGAAATGTGTTTACTAGAATGTCAAAGCTCTGAGTAATTGCTAAGCGCTACTGTTCCCTAGAGATATTTTGGGATACAAATTTTAGTTTGCCTTTCTTTCCTTCTTTTTTTGGGTATATCTTCTTTTAACTTGAGTGAAAGGGAAAGAAAACGTTCAAGAGAGGAGAAGCAACAGAAACAGACACAGTTTAGTGGGAGAGCAGTAAATAAAACTTTTAAATAAAGTATTCAGCGGAAGAAAACATTCTCCTTCCCTGGTTTCAAAAGCTTCATTCCCACTGATGCGGGTGAGAAGAAGACAGGTGAGAGAAGCTACTTTTTCCAGAGAGGAGGTAAGTGACCTTCTGTCGGCAGCACTGGCTCCGCAGTCCCAGCCAGGGCAGCCTGCGCGGTCTCCACGTTACAACTAAGAATGAAGGCAATTCTAGTGAAGTGAGTGGGGCCAAGGCTACTTGAGAATCATGGCAGGTGGCCCCAATCTCAGGGAGAAACCATGACTGAAAAAAGGAACAAGGAAGGAGCAGTACGATTCTACCCACTTAGAGGCAGGAATCTTGATGAACAGAAATGCATCTTGGGTGTCACGGCAAATTCTAACCGTGGAAGCTGACAGCGGGTAAAGAATAGGGAAGGGTTACTTCTGATGGCTTGAGATTCTCCCCCAAACCGACAAGCTTGTGCTCAGGACGACTGGCCAACAGTCAGCCTCACAGAGAGGGGCTTGATGCACAAGGAGGGTCCCAGGTGGTCCAGGGCAACTGCCTGTCTTGAGCTTCATCAAGGAAGTGCGGGCAGTGGGTGTCACTCGCTCTGATTCCTGGGAGGAGGCAAGGACGCCACTTGCTTCATATAGATGAAGATTTCTATATTTAAGAAATCCTTCTTTCTCCTGTGAGAGTAAGTGAACTACTGGAAACTGATGAAAGCACCGTAACTCGAGGGTGGTGTTGGCACAACAAGGGTCCAGTTGTTAGAAGCATCACGTGCCCCAGAAGATATCCTTTCTTTCCAATGGGAGCCTTGGGTCTCCCTCATGATGCCAGACTCCTTAACACTCCAGGGCCCCGAGAGGATGTGGCATTGCCTTGAACCAGGAGGGGACTGGATGGGACTGGATGGGACTGATGGAAATGGGGCAGAGGAGGGAGGGAAAGTGTCCAGCTGTAGTTCTCGTCCCCCATCCTGACCCTATCCTTACCTCATCTCTGGGACTCCCACCTCAAGGAAACTACAG